TAAAGCTTGTGATACCTTCATTTGCTGGTGAGGCACAACTCAAAATGAGAACAGCTAAAACATCCATTAATAATTGAAGTGTGAAATGTGCCAAATGTGTTAAATGCACCACTTCCATCCTCTAAATAGTCTTTAAAATCATGCAGTATTGTATTTTGGCTCTACTTAACTCTTTAGATTTCCTTCATCTTTAAGCAGAACTTGCGTATGAGCAATTGATATCATGTTCCACTGATAGCCCATGTCTTAATTTGGGAAAATTTGAAGACTTGATGAAGTAAGTAGAATGCATAAAGGTATTAGCAAGCTAAAATAGATTAAGATAGGTGTTTTGAACCAGATAACGATATGGTCTCACATGCCATGAATGACAAATTGAGAAGAATGACATCACATTCACCATTAAAAAGAACATTTCATGATCAATCCTGAGGTACAATGTCATCCGTGATAGGATAATAATCAAACTCCTACAAGGAATACCAGTTAATATTACCATTATTCAAATTTATGCTCCACTCTGTAAAGTCAAGGATTAAGAAATAGAGAAAGTCTGCCAACTTCTTGAGTCTGAAATTAAACAAATATGGAATCAAGATGCATTGATCATTACTGGTGATTAGAATATAAAATGTTGGAAATAAAGAATAATCAGTAGTGGGAAAAATATGGATTTAGTGATAAAAACAATGCTGAAGATTACATGATATAATGTGGCAAGACCAAAAATTTACTCATTTCCAATACCTTTTTGCAACACATAGCCAGCAACTGTGCACATAAACATCACAGAATGGATTACAGAAAAATAAAATTGCCTGCATCGGTGGGAAAATGACAATAGAGAATCTCATGATTATCAGTTAGAATAAGCACAGAGGCTGACTGTGGAACATACATATCATCAATTGCCCATCAGCGAGTGTAAAGTGGAAGCTAACGAAATGAAAATAAGTCCACAGAGTCAATGCATAACTTTGAATAAATCCCAACTGAATTTAAAAAATCATCTCAAGAATTGATTTTACTCATTGAACATTAATAGCCAAAGACCAGATGAATTTTGGGATGGCATCAAGAGCATTATACATGAAAAAACAAAAAGATCATTTTTAAAAAGTGTTGTGGGGGAGGGCTAAATGGATGTCAGAAGAAACTGTAGCTTGCTTTGGGACATAGACACATAAACATGACTAGAAAAAGCAATGATGTTAAAGAGCTGAATAGAAAGTGTTTAAGCATAACTTGAGAAATAAAAGCAAATTATTATGATGAGATGTCCAAAGCCCTGGAATTAGAAAGCCAAAAGAACAGAAAATTGTTAGCATCTCAAAAACTGAAAAAATTAAGGAAAAAAATTCAAGCCTTGAGGTTCAATATTGGAAGATACTATTGGGCAAAACAGTGCATGACAAGGAAGCATGAAAAGAACATGTAAAGAATGCATACAGTCACAGAGTTCACCCCATTCAAGAGGTAGCGCTTAATAAAATGCCAATGGTATTGAAGGAAGAATTCCATGCTCCACTGAAGACATTAGCAAGAAACAAGACTCCAAGGATTGACAGAATACCAATTGAGATGTTTCAAAAATGAATGTGATGCTGGAAGCATTCATTCTTCTAGGCTAAGGAATTTAGAAGACAGCTCCTTGACCAACTGACTGGAAGATCTGTATCTGTGACCATCTCAAAGATTCAACAGAATTCAGAGAGTATCAATCATTACCGTTACTATCACACACAGTAAAATGTTGCTAAACACATTGAAAAACAATTACAGCAGTACTTTGATAAGGAACTGCATGAAATGCATGCTGAATTCAGACGACTAGATGGACAATTACTGAAAGCAGAGACTACCAGAAAGCTGATTTGCTTATTGACTATGCGAAAGTAAGCATGGTGAGACTGTCTCTTGTACTTTGGATATGCTATCAGGAGGGTAGTCCCTGGAGAAGATCAGGCGTGGTAAATCAGAGGGCTAGTGAATAAGAGTAAGACTTTCAATGAGCTGCTTTGACATTGGCTATAACAAGGGGCTCTAATGTAACAATTGTGAGAACGGTGCAGTATTTCATTTGTTATGCATGGAGTCACTGTGAGTCAGAACTGACTCAACAGCACTAGAAAACATACAAAGGCATCCACTGTGCGGTTTTTAACAAATTATGAATAACATTGCGAAGAATGGGAATTCTAGAACATTTCACTGTGTTCAGACAGCCCCCGTATATAGACCAAGAGGCAAGCAAGAGGATGGTGCATGGTTTGAGATTAATAAAAGTATGCATCTGAATTGCATTCTTCCATCATATTTATTCAATCTGTGTGTTTAGCAAATATCCAAGAAGCTGCACAATTGGAAGAAGAACAAGGTACCTGGATTTGAAGAGTCATTAACAACTGGCTGTCGGCAGATGCTGAAGCCCTGGTGGTGCTGGTGGTTAAGTGGTGGATAGCTAGCTGCAAGACCAGTGGTTCACTAGCCCCTCCAAGGGAGAATGATAAACTATCTGTTCCCATAATAGGATCACTGTGAGTTGAAATCAACTCAATGGCGGTGTTTTTTGTTGTTGTTGTTGTTGTTGTTGTTCATTTTTTAGATATACAGGTGACCTAACATGGGCTAACTGAAAGTGAAGAAAATTTGAAGCACTTACTGATGAAGATCAAAGACTACATCATTTAATAGTCTTTGATCAATCAACCTAAAGAAAACAAAAACTGTCATAGTTGAATCAATTAACATCACAATAAACAAAACATTGAAGTTGTCAACAATTTCATTTTACTTCCATCTATAATCAACACCAGTCCTGAAACCAAATAATGTATTACATTGGGAAAATTTGCTACAAAAGACCCCATGAAAGTGTCAAAAAATAAAAAATATTACCTTTAGAACTAAGGTGTGCTTGACCCCAACTATGGTACGAGGTCATATGCATAGGAAGGAACACTGGTGTTGTAATGGATTATGAGTTGGGCTCCTAACTGGAAAGTGAGAAGTTTGAAGTCATTAGTTGGCTCCATGGGAAAAAGGTGAGGCTTTCTGCTCATCTTTAAAGAATTACAGCCTCAGAAACCCAAAGGGTCATTCAGCTATGTCCTTTAGGGTCACTATGAACTGGCATTTACTGGACGGCCACAAGTCTC